GCCATATAAGTGGTACATTACTTCTTCCTCCGTTATTCAAGTTCCTAAGTGTTTGTATTCTTTTACTTGCTCTAGTTGTTCTCCCGCCGTATAAGTGGTACATTACTTTCCAGATTCTTTACTAAGTATCATAACTTTAGTTTACTTTGCGTTCAATGTCATTCCATACTTCTTGCTTGTGGTAATTAGAGATTTCATCATAATTTGTACCTCCTCACAGTGTAGTAGAATGTTAACAGACAAAAATAGTATAAATTAAACTCAATTGTGATTGAATAGTTATATATATATTACTATATGTTAATTCTTGCCATGTGCAATTATGTTGTGATGATGCAAATGCCATCCCTACTATCTTGTTTGCATTGTTCTTGAATGATTGTTATTAGTCATCCCTAAGTTTACTTCCGTTTTTGAAAAGTGTTTTCTTTACTTGTTTGCTTGTTATTTTTTAATGCAGTGTTTCAATAGACATAGGAAGGTTGTATTTATAACCAAGTTCTAAATACAATGAGGTTCCAACTGTAATATTTATCGTCTATCTATTACTGGCTGGTAATTCCTGTTTCACCCTTGAACTAAGCTGTTTAAAGGAACACGAAATGTCTGTTAAAATCTAACTTCAAGGGGTAATGATAACATTGTTTACACTAGAATTATGATTTTTTAATGACTACTAGCTATTAATAATACTTGTAAAATCGGATAGTCCGTTTGAAACAATATCACCTTAGTGAAATTGGTTGACACCATTGTTTTGGTTTTTTGAGTTATCATGTAATAAAAAAAAAGAAGTAGAAGAAAAAACAAGGAATTCAAACTTTTGCTATGATATTTACAGACATTCCTAGAAATTGTGACTCAGTAATTACATAACTATTATTGTAAAAGGAAACACTGTATAGTATTGTAAGGTTCTGATGACATATTGAGGAGATATTTAATATACCATTTCAATGAACAATCCGAGCCTCCATAGAGAGTGCTACCGCCTGCCTGGTACGTAACCCTTTTCTTAATGAATCCAAACAGAGGTTATTCATTTACACGACAAATAAAAAATAGGGAATTTCAAAACCTGCAAATAGGGATTGCAAAAAAAGAAGTAAGAAAACAAGGCTGGAGAAACTGTAGACATTATTTACTCAAAGCACAAATCCCTATTTTGATTCCATCAAAGGTAATTCTAAATAAATAGGGGTTTGTAGTTTGAGTAAATAATGTCTGCAGTATCTCCAGCTTTGTTTTCTTACTTTTTACGATCCCTATATGCAGGTTTTTAAATTACCATTTATTTATATATTTTGTTTGCTGGCTTTTTATACTCAACAGTGTGCAAAGTATTACTTGGTATGGCAGCTAACTTTATACATTGTAATGATAAACATAGCTAGTAGCTAGCTGATATAGTTTTCACTTCATACATAATATAGGGCTTGGCTGCCTAAAGACATTGATTGTACAGTGTACAAAGCATTGAGTATCTACATGTTACATTCATCTAATGTTCATCTATTATTGGCTGGTAATTCCTGTTTCACCCCGTATTTAAGCTATTTAAGGGAACATGAGTTATTTGTAAGAAAGCTGACTAAGAGGGGTAATGATAACATTGTTTACACTAGAATTGCGATGTATTACGGTAACAACATCAGTATAGCATGACTGATATACACGACGAACGGTTTATCAAACATTAAGCACAAAAAAGTCTATATTAAGTAATGTTCGAACGGGGATTAGTGTTTGGAGCCTCAAAGGTACCTTAAACGATACAATGGCTAAACATCTAGGTCAGAGTTTCCTAGAATTTAGGTAAAGCCTTTCTTAATTTTGAATATTGACCAAAAAAAGGGGAGTCTATCAGCAACATCTACCGACATATGGACTTTGTCCGTCTTTGAAGCGAATAAATGGATTTACTGCCACTCTTATAATGTACACACAGCTGAAAGTACGGAGTATGTTGAAGTGTATATCACGACTCGAACCCTGGACCTTTCAATTCGTATCTTGACACACTAAACAATAGACCATGTGTAATTAAAGTATTTAGTCATTGAGTAATTCCGGATCTGATACAAAAATATGTACGTGAAGTCATTTTTGTGCAACTAACTCAATCCACAAAGATAAATTAAATTGGTTAAGATTGGATTAGAGCGTATAGAAAGTTTAACGCTATATTATAAGTTTGCTATTTAAGTTTAAATATAAATGAATTTTAGTTTGCTTTTACTCAAAATTTTCACAAGTGCTGCACTAAGCCATTCAGATGGTGGAAAATGTGTAAGAACGAGAGTTTACTAGTAATATTTTTGTAGCAACTGCAATCATTAGGTGTCGTTACTCTTGTGGAGACACTCGATATGTTGTTTCAGAAACTTATAAAACAGTAGTTTAAGGACTACACATGTTTTATGAACAGAAGCCAACGAATGGGATCCTTTGTTTTTTCCCGTCAGTCTTTAATAGTGTATGTGACGCGCCATCGTAAAACTAAACATTCTAATGAATAATTTTTACTTGGAATCGACATTAGTTTACAGGACTCAATTTAGCGAACTCGTTCTTAAGAATAGTGAATCGATTTTTAATGTACTTTGTATTTCTGTTATATATTAAGCTAGCGCCGGGGAAGATTTCCGTTTTACTTATATTTTTAACGAGTAAACTATTGACATTCGCTTTAAAAGCTTTAAAATTTCCACGAAATAGATGAGTTTTCTGTTCTTTTTTGTTTGTATTCTTTCTTAAAAGATTCTTGTTTGTGACCTTATATATATATATATGGCGTCTGATCAATAATAATAGATAAAATTCAATTTCAATACAGAACGAAGGAGATGCCGAAACCTTGACAACTAAAGTTGTTTAACACATTTTTCAAGACCACTTACAATGCATGCATGTGTTAGAGAAAGGCATGATGTTTCTAATGGCTGAGGCTAAAGATACTCAGTGATGAGAAATAGGGTGTCTTCAAAATGGCAAAGATCCAGTATTTTAGGTCTTACAAAAATTTTCAGGACTGCTCGAATTGGAACAGTTTGCGCCTAGAACTTTAAAAATAAAAAGGGTACATTATTTTCTTGTTGCTCTAAACATATTTTAAGTATCTGGTGTTTTAGAAAATTAGAACTTCGATTGATAACAAAATTGTGAAAATATAAAGACTTAAATTATTTATTAGAAAGTATCTTCTTGTAGCTTGATAACCATTTTATGAATAGGCATTGCAAGTAATCTTAAGATGTTCTAATTCAATGATTTATGTATACAGTGTACTTCTGGTGTGAAACATCCTCAGAGAAAATGTAACGTTGAGAACATCCTTTTTTGTTTTTCACTTCTTCTCAGACGTTGGGATATTCTAATGGATTTTCTTTAAAATCCTTCAACTTTAAGTAACAACTCAAGTATTCTCTGAATTATATTTCTTATATTTTTTATGGAATATGGCTGTTCGTTTCCTTATTAATCATTAAGACAGCCTTTTTAACTGGATAAGAATGCTCAACCACATTATAGAGCATCAAGTGATGGTTTTGGAGTGATACAATAACTTTGTCTGCTCAGGTACCAATATTTTCATATACTGGTAAAGTGTTTGTTTGTTTGTAGTTAAGTACAAAGCTACACAAATGGCTATCTGTGCTCTGCTCACCACGGGTATCGAAACCCGGTTTCTAGCGTTGTAAGTCCGCAGACATACCGCTGTGCCACTGGGGGTCTACTAGTAGAGAGTGTCATGTCTGCCTTCTCCAGGCCAGTAATACATGATATCTTACCTAGTGTATTTCCTTCAGGCTGTTGAAACTAGTTATTTTGCCTTTTTTTACTTTTTTCTCTCTCTGTTTATACAAGTTACCCCAAGCTACCTTTTCTTCTATTCTTTCCTCAGGTATTTATAACAAGCTATTTTACCTTAACTACCTTCTTCACAACTTTATTATAAGTTACCTGTTTTGGTATACCTTCTTCAGACTGTTAGTACAAGATACCTTACCTTAACAGAGATTCAGTGCATTGAATTATAACGATTTTGGAGCTTCACCTCGTCGTTACAGTCCATATCGCTATGTTCGGTCATACTCTATCTAAAAACTGATCTCGATAATAGTCTTGCAGCGTAGCTCAATTGCAAAAGGCTCTTTCATTGGGCTGTCATGTCCAATATACACCAATAATCTCTGTTAGCTTTCTGTTAACCACATAGTGTACGAGAATAACCGTTTTCCCCACCGCCCATTTCGACAGCCCGATCGGACAGAAATCCATAGGCGTAGGGTCTGGTGACTTTGCTGATATAGAATAGCAATAATATTTTTTTCATTCTCTAACTGCTTGAGATATGCGACTGTTTAACGGCTATGTCGTCAAAACAATTTGTGTTGCTTGTCCAGACGGAGAGCCCTCTCGATTATTTTGCGTAGTGGGAAACGTGAACAGCTTTTGCCACTGATTTTGGGTTTGTGGCTCTCACCAGTTATAAAATGCTGCACTTTGCTTACCCCGCCTAGGGTACGACTTATTGCAGGTCTGTTTCTGGATGGTTCTGGTGGTCCAATCTGATCCATATTTCTTTGTTTTCAAATGCATTAAGTGGAAGGGATAGCCTCATCATAGAAATTCAAAATCCCAGACTATCTGAAAAGGTCTTTATGATATGATCATAGGAATATTTTTGGTCAGAAAGAGCCGTTATATACCCTTCCACAAAACGATAATTTTTAGTGCCATCACACTACCTATGTAACGCTAGATAATGTCAAGGTATAGTCCTAATACATCCCATTCCACCATGACTTTATATTGGCTAAGGCTACATCGTGTCTTGCTGATTTGCATATACGAAATCATTTTATTATAACGTACTCAACCATCTGTATATCTTTGAGGCCTTTAATAAAATGTCTCATTCTGATGAACCTTATTCAAACCGGCAACACAAGCTGCTCTCTTAAAATCAAATAAATAAATAAAAGAATAATAAACAGTTATAAGTTAGTAGTTTAGTTAATCGAGGACCCGGTACTAGTCGTCTAATTCTTTGTTATTTTTTTTTTTTTTTAGTTTTCTATGCTTCTTTTCTTTAGTAAAAATCTAAAATTATTTCTTATTTCATAAGTATTCCCAATTGTTAAATACGACAATATAGTCAATAGCTCTAAAATTTTGTGCTAAACATCAAGTTAACTACATATATCAATAGCTTTTCGAAGAAATTTTTGTCTCTCATTTTTCAGCCCAAATGACGAATTCTGGTAATGAACAAAATACCTCTTGGGCAGTGACTTGTGAGTGAGATAGATCCAGCGACCTGTGGGGAATAAAATATAGATCTGAATTGATTTTGAATCCACAATGAGCAAATTAAAAGAAAAGTAGAAAAAAACAACATCTGCAGTCAACGTAATTTTTATCACAAATCTTAGGCTTAAAGATTTTTTATGCTTTGCCAGCTTTCGCCGTTTAAATCGTAGCTCTTACAACAATATAGTGTTATAATTATGATTTCACTCAAATTAGAAATATGGAAATAACCATTTTAACCATAAGTGTTAATTATTCTGTGCCTCAAAACTAATTTTGGGCGAATAAAAACAGTTTTTATGGAGTAGTAGATGTTAGTTCACTTGCGTGATAAAAACTATCCAGTCTGCATCACCACTGTTTTTTAAATTTATGAAATATACGACTATATACCGTAATTCTATAGAAGTCTAAACACGGAAAGTGATTTGATAATTGTTTTTCTGTTGTTTATCCAAATTGTAACATGGCAATAATTAAAGATAAAAGTGTCAACAATGTTTTGAGTAAGAGCTACTGAAAAGTGGGAGAAGCATTCAATACACCTCATAATTTGAAGGCATTAAACTTATTTATATGTGCTCAGACCTCTCCAGGTACTATAAAGATTATTCAATATGAAGGTACTGGCCATAAGTACATGTGTTATATACATATAATATGTTAACCTAATTTGTGAATTTTAAATTTAAACCAATGTTTTCCTACTTATAATATATTATAAAAAATGTTCAGTTCTGAAACACACATAAGCTCCCTTTGATGTTCCATAAGTCTAGATAAGAATCTCATTTGATCTCTTAGAATACAGCATAGACTTCTTAGGACTAAGGAGACGCATTTGTAAGTTCCCTCTGTCCACATACACACACACACACAAACGTATATATATATATATATATATATATACTACAAAGAGACAAGAAC